CCCATTAATTGACGCATATTTTTTATTTATTTATTGTTTAATCTTAAACAACACGTATATACACATCCTAAGCAACACAATGATATAAAATTCATATTTTAGAGTACGTGAGTAAAATAAATATGCATTATGCTGCCTAAGATGTGTTATGCACACAATAGAGCAACGAGAAACATAGATTAAGAAACTATATCATGCTAACCATAGATTTAAAGTGAATAAATTAGAATAAATAGAACAGTAAATAGATAAGCATAATAAAGTGACAGAAGAAATAGCTAGCATGATTAAACTAATAACAAATATAGACTAATCGGTTACTGAGTTTATCGGCAACCTGTACTTAATTAATCAAGAGGTCGCCAATTATCTAAAATTTTTATTTAATATTAATTTAGCTTTAGTTTAATTGTAACAAGAAAAAAAGGTTAGAGATTTTTATTATAGGTCGGTGTCCAGAACACCGCCTTTTTCACTGTATTTATTGGCGGTTTCTAGTTCTCGAATTTTTTAGGTTTTCCTGATAAGATCACAACATATATTAAAATGGCGTGAAAATACACGAGGAACAACGAAAAATGATAAAAAAAAAATCTCACCAAGGGTCGGGTTAGGGTTCTAGTGCAACGACGCTGATGTGTTCTGCCTCCTGAACCTCCTTCTCCAGTGGCTCTTCCTCTTGGTCAGGCCAGTTTTTGTCAGTCCTTGTTGAAAATTTGTTTAAATTATTGTTAAGATGTGTTTTTTGGTGAAAGGAAGGAAAAAACAGATGCTTGCTGGTGATTTCAGTTCTCCGATATGGTGACTCAGCTGGGCTTCGCCATCATTCACTCACGATTTGTGACTTTTCTCGATCATCCTACATCGAAAGCATATTAAATGGTTAAAGGGCAGAGAAACGGGGAGAACATAAAGAAAATACAGATTACCATAGCTTTTTTCGATCTTTGGTGCAACGACGCAACCGTCCTCCGGTGGCTAGGCTTCTCCTTCGGCCGTCCTTCTTCTTCTTCTCTAGCGAAAGGTGTCGACTAAGGTTTTTTGGGGTCGTCTGAAGCGATGTTTAAATACCCTCTTCCCTTTGATATGGGTCGTCCATTTGGACCCGCGTAGATCATCCTCAATAGTGTGATCTTGTTTATTAGGAAAACAAATTCGGATCGTTCGATTGAAGACGCGCGGATTGTTTGATCGCACTTATCCGAAAAATCAATCTGCATCGTTTGTGCGCGCGGGAGTGGATGCGAGATGTTCGATTGCCTTGGCTCGCGGATCGCCTGCGTGGCTCCCACATAGAGCCCGTGTTTGCATGTACACCACGCGACGCATCCTGGCTCATTGTGCTGCTGACGTGGCTGTCATACGTGACCCGTACTTTTTTTTTTCGATTTAACCCCTATTTTCAAATTTTTCTTTTAAATATACCGATCTTTATTTATAATTTCGACATATTTTTTAAAATTATTTTGAATTTCGTCTAAAATATATGTATTTCAAAAACATATTTAAAATTAAACTCTACACGTTTTATTATTACTTTAAAAAAAATAACTTACATCATTACGAGTCTAATTTTTTGAGTTCAGAATGTTAAAAGAACAGGATAATATTCTTCTATTAAACTATATATAATTAAATTATATAGTGGGCTAAATTTTTTTGTACTTTTTAAAATATATGTTATTTTAATTAAAAAATTAATTTTATCTTAAAAAATTAAAAAATTATCATGTGATAATTTGTAATATTCTTTACACACACACACACACACATATAGTAGATAATTGGAAATTGATAGTAGATATAACAGGTGAGCATATCAATGTAAGATTTAAAATGAAAATTAGTATAATTAAATAAATATTTTTTAAAAATATCACATGTAAAGTGGTAAATCCACAAACAATATTAATATGAGGTGTATTCAAATACAAAGATAATAAGTACAATAATTTCAAGATAAACCGAATTAAGTATTCAAATTATATTTTAATGTACACATGTACACATATACTTACATATATGCCAGTGCCGCGGAACCTGTGAACTTAATATTTTATTTTTAAATAAATTTGAGTGATAATTAATTAATATATAATAATTAAATAATAATAATATAAAATTAAAATAATAAAAAAATTTTATATTTAGATGATGATATATTAATATATATAATAACATATTTTTATTTGAATAATAGGATGATATAATTATATTTTTAGTTAAATTATTAATTTAATCCTACATATTATATGTAACGGCCCCAGAAATTTTTAATAAAATAAGTGTATTAAAATATCAATGCGGAAGCGAAGTTAAAATTCGATTAACATCCCTTACACTAAAACCAAAACGTACTCAAAATATAAAAGATCAAATTAACTAAAAGAGAAATTTGAAAATAAGAGCTATGAATAAAACTATGGAGTCCCTAGGCGTCTCCTTCGTCGTCTTCTTACGGAACAGGCTCGGGAACAACGTCTTCCTGATCTGAAATGATTAAATAAGGAATGAGCTACACTAGCCCAGTAAGAACATCACGATATCTCACTGTTACGGAGGTAAAGGTGGGTAGAAAATACAAAAAGACCAATGGAGCATAATTTACAAAAACTCATTTATCAGTAATAAAACTTTTACCATTTACTTACCTCGGTGAAATTCATAAAACAATATACGAAAGCAATAACATTATCATCATCATGAAATCATATAAACTGTATAACATAATACTTATCACGCTTTTGCAATTCAATCGTTACACAATCACTTTTTCTCATTCACCAGCCTACTAGTATCTATGGGGATCCATAGGGTCCCGCTACCCGTTACCCTTAATACTTGTAATCAGATTCCAGGGCCGTCCCCATACCCCGTCCGGTATGGGCGCCAAAACTATAAACCTCAATACCCCGTCCGGTATGGGCGCCAAAACACATAAGATCTCCATACCCCGTCCGGTATGAGAGACCACGATCCCGGTAGGGTCCCCTACGGACCCGGTCCGTCCACCATCTCCCAGGA